CTTAGCTGTAGAGGGCAGTGTCACTGGCCCTCATATGTGGGATCCGAACCGGGGCCCTCTGGCGTCCCAAGCGAGTTCTTAACCATCGCGCCACTCGGCTGGCCCTAGACAAGTTTCTTAACCTCAGTTTCTCTATCTATAAAATGGGAATCAAGTAATACACATTTCATAGAGCTGGCTAAAATGCTTAGAATTGTGCCTGGCTCATAATAAGCACTATAAAATGTATTATTTTTATTTGACATGTGTTTATGTAGCACATAATAAATTTATGTTTGCAGATTTTTTTCATTACCATGATTAAGCTCAAAGCATTAATTTGGGTGGCCCTGGGGGAGGTATCAGTTATTCAAATAAATTTATAAGAAATATGCAAAGAATATCAACAGGCAATTCACACAAGAGGCAACCCAATTAAACAAATATAGGGAAAGGTTCATTTCAACAGCAATTAAAGAAGTATAAATGAAAACCAAAGAATCATTTTGTTCCCATTAAATTAGCAAAGTATTTAAATACAACTCCTATTACCATTAAAGTTATGATTTAAAATAGGACTGTTTAAGTGTTAACTGGTAGCAATGTAAATGGATATTACTCTTTTAGTAAAGAAAATGGCTTAATGTATCAAAACCCATTAAATATTCATAGTCTTTGACCCAATAATTTCATCTGATTTCTGATGGCAATAAAATCAAAGAAAGAATAAAAATATAGGCATAAATATGTACATTTAGCATTTTTATAAGAGTACTGAAAACAATTTAAATATTCAACAATCAGGTATAAAAGTACAATGATACATCATAATGTAGTCATTAAAAGCATAATTATAAATCTATGTAGGCGCATGGAAAAACATCTTATGAAATGTTCAATGAATGACCATAACAAAAATCCTATCTACACTATGATTACCGCTAACAGAACTATGTATACAATTAGACAAAGACTGGAAGGAAATAGAGGTAATAAAAATAGATACATATGGTTGAGGGAATATGGGCAACAATTTTATTTCCTTTACTGCTATAAATGTTTATGCAACATAAATAGGTACAACTTCACTTATGGCTTTTGCCCACCTGCCCTCAACTCTCACTAAATGAATTTATTGTGACCTGAAAGTGTGGAGAGGGAAAGTCCTCTCCCCTCGGTACTGTACGTACCACTGCAGCGTCTGCAATGTCCTCCTGTGAGGACGGAAGGACAAGGCTTGGAGGGGAGCCCAGTGCTGTTCAGGAGGGTGAGAGCTGCTGATGCCAATGCCTCCTAAGCTTAGCAGCATATGGAAAGAAAGATCTGGGACACTCTTCTGAGACCTACATTGGGGACTGCGACCATGACCATCCAAAAGAGGCATTCTTGAGACAGCCTAACCCACTCGCATCAGGCTTCTAAACCCCAGGCAGCACAAGCAGCTTAAATGATTTCACACGAACACGGGGAGGGGTGGTGGGATAAAAAATAACTTGTTTTAAAATCTCTAGGGGTAACAATTGCCCAAGTACTTCTCCCATGGCCCTAAGAAACACAGGTCCAGCTAGGTCAAACCATGCGAGGAAGAGAAGCAAGCTT